TGGTAAAAAGCATTATTGTGGTTTTGATTTTTTTTTCCTTTATTTCTTTATTTCACAAAATCTCCCTGGGAACTTCAGTAAGGGGAGACACAGAGAAATGCTCCCATTCTCTTTTGAAAACAGAATTTAAGCAGTGGCTCACCACAGCTGGGCCTGCTCACCACACTAATTCTGTTTTTCATCCCCAAAGGAGCTTGTATCTCATTAGCTTCATGCCCCTCCAGTCCCGTGCTGCTCATTGAGAGGAGAGCCTGAGACAGGAGGTTTCTGTTCCAAGTTGAAAGCCAAGGGAAGCACCGACAGTTTGATGGGCAGACAGAGAAGTTCCCAAGTGCAGCCCAGCTATGGGAAGCATCGAGACATCAGTCATCAGCCACTGCAAAGCCACTGCAAAGGGCACCAGAGAAGTCCAGACAAGAAAAGCCGTTCAAGCGTCCCTGCCAACCATCTTCTGTTCAGACACCAACACCTGGTGGTTTCCCTCTTCCCTGCAGTCACTCCCACGTGCCAGATGAACACCAGGGACATCTTGGACAGGGAAGCCAGAGCTTCCAGCACACAAGAGCTGCCTGCTCGCTCTGAAGGAACGTTCAGGCAACTCTTCCCCAGCACCCCAAAGGAAGCTGGAGAAGAAGGCTGCCCTACTTGAGCAGTCCTGTCAGAGATTTCCTCTCCCCTCTCCACCCTAAAAACTTCCAGCATTTGCTGGCCTCGAGAAGAGGGTGCACTTCCCTCAGCAACACAATCAGAGCACACAAGGCAGCGCTCTCATCTGCCTCTAGGGATCTGGCCACTGTCGGAGAAGGGGTGCTGGAATACACAACAATGGGATTCAGTTTTCTGTCCTGATGTGGTGAATTCTATACAGAAAAATGTCACCCCCCACACAGTATTCGAAGGGGTTTAAGAAACCTTACAGAGGAGAGGCATATCTGCTTCCCAGGAAATAAGCCCACCATGATTAATTCTGTTTGGATATAGGGGATGGAAAAGAGACAGCAACTTGGCAGGAAAGGTACATGCCAACCCAAAACGTTAGTGGCTTGCTGTGCATGCAAAGTAAGTCAACTGTTTCCATGTTGATGGCCTGATCCACGTTCTGTCAGAATGTGACCGGCCATCTCTGAGGGCTGCTCAGCCAGAAAACCACTTGGAGACTCCACCTTAGCTCACAGGAGAGGTATGGGAGGGAAGGGAACTCACTCCAACACTTGGCAGGCAAGGACGGGAAAGGTTTGTAGACAGGGTTCCTCCAACATGCAACTTGCCTTTCAGCTCAGAGATCGCTGCTTAGTCCTAGAATGCCTTTCCCTCCAGTTCAAGCAAGCCAAACACCATCCCAGACACACATGCTTCGATACTACAAAATACTCTTTTCTCTAAGGACCATCTAATACCACTACAGTTTGTGCAATCACTGCATTTATTATTCATTTTTAAACTCTCTCTCGCTCTCTCCCTGTAGAAATTTTTTTTAAAACTTTTCTTTTTTTATGCAAAACTAATCATTTCACTTTTTCCACTCCATCATAAAATCTCCTCTAAAAACACGACAACGAGAACAAACATGGCACAGACACAGAGAATATTTCCCTGTTTTTGTTGATTTTTTTTCCTAAGGGTTACGGGGAAAGGAAGGGGATACTTTCAAATAAACTCCTCCCTCAATTCCATGCCCATTTCAAAAGGCACGGATGAATCTTCTTTCCTATCTCCATTAAGGAGCAAAGGCAAAAATTCAGAAGGAGGAGCACAGCCCACGTGAATACGAAGGTAGGTTAGCTAGCCTCAAGTGTCTTGTCCACCTGAGGGAACTCGAGGCTACTGCTGCATTCAAGTTAGCAAACCTCTAACTCAAACCAGCACGGGATCCTCATTTCGGATCCAGAGGTTCAGGGTTTGGTTCCCACCTGGTGACCCACCCAGGGAGAGATTTGTCACACAAGCAGGTGAGCTGTGTCTGCAAGCCGGATCATACTCCTTTCTTCCTCCACAACGAGGATCTACCACATGAGTTTCTCTGCTGCAACAAGTCCCCTCATCTCCTCACCGCAGGAAGGAGGTCCTTGCGGAGCATCCCTACAATGACCCACTGTTTTACTCTTCACAGACAGTTCCCTTGCTTGCCACTCTGGAGAAAGGCAAAACCCCTTCAATTAAACAATTCCTGCCCCTTGCCCCCAAAGAACACCATACAAGAGACACTGGGGAAAAGAACTCTGCCAAGCAACACATCTTGGCCAAAACACATCAAGAGTTTCCTATTAAAGTTCCCTTTTATCTCCCACTTAAACGCTTCAACACTTTTTTCAGAATCTCGATACCACAAAACAAAACACAGCACCACATACACACCTAACAGTAACTTAACAACCTAAAGTGACTGGCCGGTTTGCATCCACCCCATAAAGCAGCTCCTCTTATCTCACAGCCACAGATTAGTTCTTATTCAGAAGGGGGAGGAAAAAGAGAAGAATCTCCTCGCTATTTTCCTAAGAAAGAGCTTTTCCCTATGCCTACAAACTGCTCATCTTTGAAGCTGCAGTCAAATGGATAGGCTATGCTAACATAAGGGATCCCTGGGTGTGCCAGGCACAGGAAAGATGCGCAAAAGAAAACCCAAACCAAAAAAACCAGAAAAAACCAACACCCACAAAAAATACAAGCAGGTATTAACACAGACACGCACACAAGTCCAACAAGTTATAGAAAGCCTTAGCTTGGTGAATAGATCAGGGAAGTCTCTTTCTCCCTGCCCCTAGCTTCAGCTGTGAATGAAAGCACATCCCTGAAGAGTCCACTAAGCTCTTTAACCAAGGAAAGAAAAAGAAAGAGGTGTACCAAGGGTGGTGCTAACAGCACCTGGAATCCCCCTCAGACTGTCTGCGCAGACACCCAACCACAACTGGTGTGAATTCACCGTTCCCCACAGCTTGGAATGCCACCCACTGCAAGGCAAGGTTTGTGGGGAGGGCAGCAAAGATTTTATTACACCAACCCAGGCGCTGGAGGCAAGGAATAGACACACTCTGGGCACAAAAGCCCTAATTAAGGTCAGAAGCTGGTCTATCCCTCTACCACCCTGACAACGTCCCTTGGGCAGACAAATATTACTTCCCTCCCACAAATTGCCTCCCTTCTATCCTCAGATCACTACAACCACAAAATCACTATTGCAGGAGAGCAGGTCTCAGAGCCAGCAGCTCCTGAACATCCTTGTGTGAAAGCACCAGAGGGGCCAATTCCACTTGTCTTCACCCGCCCAGGGCAGGCTTATAAGCAAATGAGCCCTGGCATGAGGAATTTTTTCCACCCTTTTCACCTCTGCAGCATGTTATGTAGAAGTGACACCTCTCTGCCCCATCCAGGGACAGGGCTGAGAGGGTGAGGCTCTCCCACCAGTTCATCAGCATCTCTTTTCCTTGCCTCTAAGAGCTCAGTCCTGTGCAAGTAGAGGAAGAAAGGAGAGCAAAGGAACGGCTTCTCACCATGAAGCTTAGGACCCACACAGAAACAGAGCAAGCCAGAAATGGCAGGCAAAAAATAGAGCTTATCTTGGATGTGAACAAAGCTGGTCAGGGAAAGAGGGAGCTGTGGAATAAACAGCAAGCTGTGGTCTTGCTCCCTCCTACTTGCTAGGGGTGAAGAAGAAGGAATTTCTAGATCAGCTTTAGGGGAAGAGATCCAGCGCACATGCATGCGATGTGAGAGACAGGTATTTCTTATGAGCACCTTTGGTTGACAGTTGTAAGGGCTGTTTCAGATGCTGAAAAGACGCAGGGGAAACCTCTTCCAGGCCACCCACCAGAGGGAGGGGAGAGCAGGAGGGACACAACCGAGCAGGAGGGGCAAAAACAAGCAGGAAGAACAACCAACCTGCCTTCGCATGCACCCCTCCTTCCTTTGGAAGGAGCAAGAGGAAGCAAAGAGGGCCGGGGGAAGCTTACAGGAGGTGGGAGAGCAGCCTCATGCGGCTGGGCAGCGTCACGCTGCTGCCATCATCCTCCCACAGACTGAAGGATGGAGGCACAGCCCCCTCCTGCTTCCGCCACGGAAAGGCCAGAGAAAGGCATTTCATGTCACTCTCTCACAAACAAGTGCAACTGATGAACATCAGGAGGAAGATATGGGCTGGAAGCAGACTCCTCTTTTCTTCCCTTTCTCCTGAGGAGCTGAACAGGTTGGAAGATGAGGGAGAAGAGGAGGGATCAGGGCACCTGAAAGCACCCATACAACTGCCAAGGTAGCACCAATAGTCAAAGGAAAGGGGAAGCCAATATGAGGCATAGGCTGCATGGGGCACCCCCCAGCACCCCAGCTTTGTCTCAAGCACCTTCCAGGCATGACATTTAACCTGTCCTTCTCCCCCTCACTCTGAGGCATCTGGATCAGCAACTGCCACAAGGACAGTAGAGGAGAGGGCAGATCCAGGCCGCAGGCCAAGAGGGGAAGGATGGCAGGATGGTAGTCATGGCAAGAGGGAAACAAGAATGGAAGAGTCTGCATGCACGTTGTGGGAGAAGGTCTGGAGGACATGGGCAAGGGCTCCAATCCTCTTACATCCTCCCCTCACGGGTTTGGAGCTCCTCTTCAGTTTTTGTCAAAGATAGAAGGGGAATGAGGAAGAGCAGCACCTTCCTCACCACCTGCACAGGCACACAGACACATGCTCACTCATCCCTCAGCCCCAAAGGCTCCACCGCCCGTTGGACAACACCACATTCAAGGACAAACAACCACTCCCCAGCCCCACCATAACCCTCCCTGCCTCCTCCTAGCAGTACCAACACCCAGCAACAGTGGGTGCTCCCACACCCCCACTGACACACTCCAGCCTCCAGGCAAGAGGAATTGGGCAGGAGGAAAGGAGGAGGAAGGGTGGCAGTGAGGGTAGAGGGACAGCCAAGGGGAGAAGGAGAGAACTAAGGACAGCCATTCGCACCACGACTTCTCTCAGGTAGAGCTCCCCCCACACCCCTGGAGTGGGGGGACCCGGTTGCTCACTTGCTGCCCCCTCCACCACTGCCTGCCGCCACCTTCTCAAAATCCTCTGCATTGCAGAACTCCTTGATGGTTACAGTGAGGAGGTTGCTGGTGACATCTGTGACCACCACATTAGAGCAAGGGGACATCTCAGGACGCCAGTCGCCAGCCTCCTGCTCCGGGTCAGAAGAGGAGAGGGACAAGGAGGGAGTCTGCCCCCCACTACACCCTCCCGAGGGAGAACGCTTGCTGGTGGCAGCCGACTCAGGTGGGATTGAGAGGTCGAGGACCTCTGACTCACGCCAGTCGGGGATGGCTGGGCTGAGGGTCTCAGGGAGCAGCTTTGGAGGGGAATCATCTGGGTCAGAGGAGGAGTGGGGAGCAGGTGATGGGCAGCCAGAGGAGCTGGAGCTGGGGGCATCATAGGGGGTGGAGCCCATAATGAGCCCACAGGAGGCTGCCTGGGAGCCTTCGGCCTCCCCCTTGCCCTCCAGAGAGGGGGTAGGTGCAGCAGACGGCTTATTGTAGAGCGAAAAGGTACCAAACTTCATGTGGCGGATCTGAGTGCGCAGGACGCTCTCGCTGAACTTTTTGCTCTTGCCAATGACCCGGTTTCGGGAAGGGATCTTGGGCCGAGCCAGGCCCCCGGCCCCATTGGCTGGCTTCCCACCTTTGTCAATGACTTTGAGGTTGAGGATGATGCGGCTGCGTTTGGGCTCGCGGGGTTTCACCTTACGGTTGATGATGCGCACGGTCTCTGAGAAGGGTGAGACAGGAGGACGAATGCCAGCCCCGCCACCCACACTGCCGCCGTTCTGGGGATCCGGACGGGGCAGGGGGCGCCGGGACATGCGGTGGCATCGCCGGATGTCTTTCTTGAGCCGGTGCACTGCGGCGCTGGAGTGGAGTTTGGGAGAGGAGGTACTGGAACCAGGCTTGACAGAAAAGTGTACATCCCCAATGTGGAGGGCCTCCGCTTGGGCCCGAGCCTGCGGTGGTGGGGAGAAAGAAAACAAACAGGGTCAGAGAGGCAGCCTAGCTGCAGCCAGATCTCCAGTCGGGCACTGCTCACTTCAGGCCAAGCACTCGCCGGCAGCACCATGACACATTTATACCCAACATCAATGACAAGTACAGGTACACACCTACAAACTATTGATAGCTCCAGCACAGCCCCCAGACAGACACAGGGCACTGTCTGTATCATTTTTGGGCAGGTGATGTCTCCCTAGGCCGTACCCCTATTGACACATGCTTTCCCCAGGGAGAAACTGCAACTTCCCAGGCAGGTGTCAGGGTTAAAGTTAATGGTCTCCAAAGCCCCCCTTGGTCGTCATCAGTCAAAGTGCATAACCCTCCACTGTCAGCCAAAGAAGCCAGCATCATCCTAGGCACTTGAGGCTGTCAGTGCTGAGACAGCACCCAAACTTACAAAGGGACTGTAAAGGTTCTCTACAAATGCAACATGAGATAAGAGGGAAGAGGCAGAGTAATTGCCTCTAAAAAGCGTGGTAGAAGGGGGTCTTGAGGAACACAGATGGAGGCTGGTGAGAATGGTCTGATGGAGTTGTCTTCATTAAACACAACATTTAGAAGTCTGATTTTTAACTAGGATCACATGGAAGTCATTCATTCTTACTGTGTTGCGGGAGCAAAGTCCAGTGTTTAAAGCCAGAGATGAGGCCAGCTGGAATTCAAGTGAACTTTAACTGCACCTCCAAAGAAGAGACTGACTTGTCCTTTTGAGCACCACACTTGTTTGAAACCTAGCAGTGGACCAGAGCAGGAATAGCACCTGTTCAACTGCTCTGTGCCAGCCCTCCTCAAAAGCCAGGCCAGGGGAACAATATTTTTAAGCTCTTCTGGTGCCAAAAACTGCCGTGGTTCATCCAGCAGAGACAGGAACATTTCCTGGCAGCAGGAACAACAGTTTCATTGATAAGCTGGTGCTGTATGACCTGTGGGCATGGAAACCCAGAGTCTATTCTTACACCACATCTCATCAGAGCACTGTTGCTTGTATAGCTCATCCTTCCACCTGCACCCCAGGACTTGCCCAAGCCAACCCCCTTCCATATTCCCTCTCAGCACTGGTGACAGGCAGAAGTCACACAGGCCTGGAGGGGACAGGCAAGCCCCCACCCTGTGACTGCCCATCCCTCGAGCAGCTTCCCCCACCTCGTGGGCACAGAAAGAACTGCAGTGCTACAAGACGACAGCTGCTTTTCCTCCCCAACTTTTCCATCCCGTTGCCCCTTGCACACGCCAAGATCGGGATGGCTTCTTGCCAGCTAAGAGCTTAGCGCTCAACTCCATCTCCTTTGTCACCCTGCAGGCTGTGCCTCCTACCAGAGAAATGCCTGGGGAAAAAATGTGCGTGTAAAGGCAGGGATCTAGCAGATCTAAGCAAGGGGCCCAGCCAGCCCCTGCACAAAAAGCTCAAAATCCTGGCCCTACAGCTCCAGAGCTTTGCTGTTAGCCAGAGCCCCTCTTCTCCCACAGAGATACCCATGGGAACCACAGAAGATCCTGAATGAGCACAGAATGGAGACGTGAAGACATTTTGTTCCTCTCTCAACTAACACTGGATGATCACAGCCTTCAGTACTACTTGTATTCTGGCTTTAAAAGAACTGCAAAAATGAGGCCTCCTTCTCTGACTGTACAAGAACACACAAACTGAAGGCTCACCCTGTCTGGGGACCTAGACTCCGTGTCAGCCAAATGACAAAGAAACAGACACAAGTTAGCACAACCCCAAGGCAAGCACAGCCGCTCCGCACATTAACACACAGGGCTGCTCCCACCTAGCTAAAGGGAAGTGCTCCCAGCACACACAAACCCCAACACTTTTTCTGCTGCAGCAGAAAGCATCCCAATGTCCACCTAGTTACTCCTTGCTCAGCCTCCTGTGTTACTCCATGCCCCAAACTGTTGAGAAAATAAGACACAGTTCCTGTCACAGGCATAGTACAGGCCTGAGCCCAGCAACAGTTCCAGATGAACTCCCTGCACCACGCATCAGCTCTCCCCCTCACATCAATACACAATCACAACTTGGAGACACTGCAGACCCGGTCAGGAGGTCACAGGCAAATGCACATTTGGGCTGTGCTTACTCCATCTCTTCACGGGTCCCTCTGAAGCAGATGGCAGGCACAAGGACAAGCTAAAGTTTGCTTTCTGACATTACATACCAGCACAACCTGAATTAACAAATTTGCTCCTTTTCATCCTGCTCCACACCACAGCCAGCCCTTCCAGCATTGCTGCTCTTGTGCTTTGGGTTTCTTACCAATTTACCACTGCTGAGCCAAGAGCAAAATGCAACACAACATCCCATTCCAAAACCCAGGACAGGGAAGCCAGGCAGAGGCTACACAGATGCATCACTGAAAATCCTTCTACAGCTTCAGTGGATGGACACATGTATCCTTCAGGGCCTCTCCCGTTGCCAACACTGCACATCTTTCAGATTAATTGCCTAGCCCATAATCATGCCTTCGAGTGAGGAGTTCTGCACCCTCTGTGCCATTCTGCTCCAAGTCAAATCTAATTGCCACCTTCCACCAGCACCGCCTTCATCACCCAGGAGAGAAAGAAGGCAGCTTCCCAGAAGTGTGGGGGAAGCAGTCACAAACACCCTCAGTTTCCTTATACACCCCAAAAATTCCTGAGCAAAGCTTCCCATCAGCCACATGAAACAAAGTGATAATGCTGGGATGGTTACTACCTGGCCACTCCCACAGCCCTGTTCTTTTACTTTCTGCATACGTTAATCAGCTCCTGTCCTGTTTTCACAGAGAGACCTGTCCTGGTTTTGTGCTTGCTCAGCAGCTACTGCAGAGCCCTGGTACATGGCTTGGACTTTTCCAGTGTGCCAGAACCAGTAGGTCTCATTTATGTGCCATGTGTCTGCATTTCCAGTTACTTCTGTGGCACTTTCTCACGGCTGAAGCTGTTTCTAACTCATGTTTCAGCTATCTGCCTTTATTGAATTCCAGCTTCAGTAGTGTCCAGGTGGTCTACAAACAGCATTGATACTTTGGTCAGATTATTAAGAGAGAGGGTTAAATTAGGGCCCAACAGTCCTCCCCTGCTGCTACACTGTTATCTCCAGTGACCAGCTTCAATGCAAGTTCCAAAGAGCATTATGCAAATATTCAGCTTACCTTGAGATTGTTTTTCCAGGTAAGGTTTCAAGAAAAATCGTATCAGATGCTTTATCTAAGACCAGCCCCCAGAGCTTTCTCACTTGGGAAGCTCAGTATTCCTACCACAGGATCAGGTTTATTCAGGCATCACCTACATGAACTCATCCCTTCACTGCAGAGGACAGCACAGAGGCTCTCCTTCCCCTGCTTCCAACTTTGGAATAAGTAACTTGCTACCTTTGGTTTGGAGAAGACTCAACATTCAGTTTTATCTGCTGGAAATGCACTTCTCCCTGCTCTGGGCCCATTCCTCGATCATTCCCAAGCCATATGAGGATAATGTCTTTGAAAAACAAACCCCCGAATCCTTTCAGCTGTGTCACCACAGTTTGCTCCTTGGCTCGCAAGTTCTCCACATGGAAATCACCTCTCTAGGTTTTGCTGCTTTCACCAGCAGGATGTGCTCACTGCTGAAGAGGTACTCAGCATGTATACGAAGTAATTCACTCTGCTTACAGCTCAGCCTACATCAGGATGCAGTTTCTGGAAGCTTGCTGCAGTGCTCTGTCATGAGAGCAAGGCAATTGCTGGGATTGCTTCCCTTCCCCCTCTTCCCGTCTGGGATATGTATCACCTTTATTTATCTTGTACAGCTCTCCCTCACTGCCCCTGGGAACTAGTGTATCTCCCCCGTTCCCTACTATTTCTGAATAAGTGTCCCTCGAGGCCCAGCAAGCATATTTGTTCATTCATTCCCTTAAGGCACCGAGGCACACAAGCACGTACACAGACACGTGCTTAGAAAGGCCTCTCCTACCTGATTTGTATCAAAATCTCTACAATATGGAAGAAAAAAACAAACCAAAGACCTTGTAAAGCAATAGATTTCTAGTCAATTATTTTAAAATCTCGCCAATTCCAGTAGTGCTGCTGCACCATAGTAGCGCTACTCTCTCATAAATTACTGGCTCTGCTTTTTATTCTCCACCTGCATTCCCACAGTCTTCGCTCCCAACAGCATTTGCAAGAGCTCTTCTTTCCCCTTTTTGGCTGCCATTCTGCCTTTTTATCACCCTCTTTCTTCTGCAGTCTTCCAAGTGACAAGGCAAAAGCAAGCCAGTTCATAGCACAGTTCTCCCAAGCAACACTGCCATAAACTAAAGTTTCCCTCTGGATTGGGAACAAAATACTACAAAAGGGGAACGGTCTGTTTTCAAATTACTCAGGATAATTTACGAACAGGGAGGAGATCAAAAGAAACCCAATTCCAGCTTTGGAGTTCAAGAGAGGGCGAAAGGACAGAGCACCATGCTGCTCAGCCCCTTCTTCCCCCACTCTCCTACTAAGAATCCCTTTACCCTTGTTCTCCCTTACTTCTTCCTTCCCATTAACCTTCTTCGCTCCTGTCACCTTAGTATTTATGGCCACCCCAGCTAGGGGTCTTTGCCAGCCACCCACTGAGCTTGCAGACTGGGCTCTGTCTCTGAATAGCACTTGCTAGACTTTATTAAATGAGTTGGTGAGGTTTGCATTCCACACATTGGAGTGCCTAGAGAAAAAAGTTAAATAAAAAGAGCAAATCGAGCAGGAGAAAAAGAGGAAGATCACTACAGCACATGCTATGTCTCTCTCTAACCTCACACCAGCATCCATGCCTGTCCTCAAGGATCACTTCTGCCAGACACCCGAAGAGCCTTACATACAGTGCTGCCTGTTTCAGACTAAGAACTTCGTTTCCCATCTGCTCAGCAAAGGGCTGCAGCACACCAGCAGCCTCCCAAGAATCACAGCCTCCTGCCAAGCCAGAGCTCAGCTGTGGGAGTTTGCCCCTAGCATGCAAAGGATAAAGACCCATTTCCTGCCCAAAAGTTTGCAATTGCAGTTTGCAGGGGTTGCTTTCAACACCGGCCATCTTGACAGTGATATTATAAAGCCTGGACTGTGATGTGCCTCTGCAGTCTGATGGAAAGGGCAAGTGTTAGACAGCTCTCAGAAACAGGAGCCTGGCTTACAAAGCAGCAGGTGGTCAAAGATGCAGCTTTTCAAAGCTTTTCCAAAGGCGTGGGCCACTAACCTGCTGGAATGCTTTCTGCAAATCCCCCTGGGTGCCTATCTGCAACTTTTGAGAACTAATCCCAGGATAAACCTAGTCCCAAGTGCAAGCTAAAACACCCACACAAGCCAAGGGACTGAGTGCCATATCAGGGCACTTCTTTTGATGCCATTCTGGAGACTCAGAAGCCTAGGTTAAAGCACCAATACACATGAAAAACCCTAGCAAGCCACCCAGTCAAGGGCAGACTACTCCATCAAAGCAGTCCTAGGCCAGATTTCTGCTTAAACATCATTGCATCCAGGCCTAATCTGTTCAGTTAACAGATCAAAAAGAATATTGTTCTAACTGCCAACTCCAAATACTCCCTCTGGGATACTAGAATCAAATTTCTTCCCCTGCTTCCGAAATTCTCACTGGCAAGAGATTCTGCAGCTGAAAGAACTGAAAATACTGTTAGCAATACCCGAGGCGCAACCCAATCCCACTCCTCCCCCAGCAGAACCGGTGCTGCAGGGCTGGAAGAGGTGAAATGTGCATCTTCAGGGGTCAGAAAAGCTGAGTTACAAACCATCTCACTGTCTCTGCCGTAACTCTAGCCACAGTTGTGTCGATTGTGGTTTGCCTGAACAGAGCTCAAACAAGTTCAGATGGGGCTGGCTCAGACAGAGTTACTTCTCACTGCCTGGTCTGGGGTGTTATTTTTAGGGTAGGATCCGAAGTCACAGAGGAACAGCAAGTCAGAGCTGCTCTGTTTCCCAGAGGTGCAAACCCAGCAGCAGTGGTAGTGCTCTGCCCTGCCAGCCTCTCCCACAACGTGGCACCAGTCCTCAGGAGAGCTGATCTCGCTCCCTATCACGAGTCATCTTCTACAAAGTACCAAGCCAGCTCTGCAAACCTACAGGTTTCCAGTACCATTTGAGGAGCTGGCAGAAGGAAGATGTGCCACAGAAACGTGTCATGGACGTGATTCAAAGGATGCTGCTGAATAATTCACGTTAAGTTTAGGGGAGTTTTAAAGGGTAATGGGAAAAGAGAAGCAATGAGTGGGTTTTGAGTTCGGGGGTTGGTTTTGGTTTTTAAATGAGTGAGAATGAGTAATTTTTTTAAAATGAGTGATATGGCAATAGATGTGGCCATATCACATTCAGAATCAAAAATAAAAGAAAGTGATTACACATAGCATAGTCACCGCTCCACAGCTCTGAACAGTGTCAGGTGTTACAAATACCAGTATTTTTTAATGCAGGCAGAGGACTATTTCAAGCTGGTGATTTTCCCTTCAAGTGTTCCTTTGCATTGTTGGAAATTTAAACACAAGAGTTACATTTAATGCATGACTGCCAAAAAGAGGAAATCCAACTAGTCTGTATTTCCTCAATACAGCACAAGAGGTAGTACATTATCAGATATGTTTGTAATTCTCAGGCTACAGATACAGAACACTGTTAGCAGAAAAACAGGTGACCGGGGAGGACAGTTCCATCAGCAGGACTTCCCAAGGATTACCATGGTCCCCTGGGTTTCACGCAGAGCATCAGAATACGCCTGCTCCTGCATTTCTTCTGTGTGCTTCATTAAGCCCTCTCAAAGCAGAGAAGAGGTGACACCCTACCCCTCACTGTGCTTTCTGGTGCTCATGCAGTTAAAAGTGCTGTGCTGACTTGAGTAAAGCTCCTACTGCTGCCAGGCAAAGGGAAGTATTAACCTGTTTCACAGATGGGGAAACACGCACAAAGCCTAAGTGACTTGCCCAAAGCCACAGGATGACTTGGTGATAGTGATGCCTTACTACAGGGTCCACACTGCCTGTTCCAGGGCTTCCTATCAGAATAAAACCAGGGGAATTCCAGACTTGCTCATCTCTCTAAACTGTACAAAGGTGCGTTCTTTCTATGCTCATTTGAAGCCAGAGATTGTGACAGCTGGAGAGGAAGGGGAGGGAAGAGGGGAGTAGAGCAAGGCATTTAATCTGTAAACTAATAAATTCACAGAGCTCACATAACAGTCATGCAGCTATCAGAGTTCTTAATTTAAAAAAACGTAAAAATACAGAGCAATTAGGCCTGCACTAGGGACTACCTTCCTTGCTCCTCTCTGCAAGCAAACAGAGATGCTACGACATCTTGCAGAGATGCTGAGTCTATCAGAAAGGAACTGGAAACTTCAGCTGCCTTCCTATGCAGAGGTGAAACACTCGTCCTCCTCCTCCCAGCCACCCCTTACGCTCTGCAAAAGCAAAACAAGCCTGCAGTTTATAGATCAAAGCATGAACCCTTCATGAAACTCCCGTGGAGCACCCACATCCTTAAATGCAATCAGAGGAGCACAAGTGGCAGTGGGATTCCCGCCTCTGCTGCCTGACCGCTCAGCACGCTGCTAAGTTGCAGGGCACGGGTTGGATGGAACAGCCTGCTGAAGGAAGAGGGAACGAGACTGGCTGGCTCTCCACTGCGGCAACAGCAGGCCACGAGAAGGAGAGGATATTGGAAGAAGAGACTGCAGGCTCACCACGCACATCTGCGTGTGCTGACCGTCCTGCTGAGGCCCCCGTGGCACGCACACCGCCCTCCCCTCACACGCTCCTGCGCCTCTGCCCACCCCCCCCTTTCCTGTCGGGTTTTCCCCGCGCTCCCAGAGCCAGGCATCAGGCACAAGTCACTTGAAAGTCCAATCCTTCCAAGGGCACACAGCAGCAAGGTTTGTGAAGCTTTTTTTTTTTTTTTTTGCTAGGCCTAAGTTATTTAGTTAAGAGTTACCTTCAGCAGAAAAGTTTTAGGTTTAGGTCCTCTCTTCTTGGGCCCGTACAGCTCACGTTCTCGTTCCCTTTAGGGAATCAAATTTTTCAAGAAGTTAAAACTTTTCCCAAAGGGAAAACCAGAAGCATACAAGTTAAAGGAAAAAAAAAAAAAAAAAAATGGAAAAAAAGAAAAAAAAAGAAAAGTAACGTCTGGACGCTGTTTCCCGCTCGCCCACCCAAAGTCAAACCTGCTGCTGCAGCCCCCCCAGCCCAGGGTGGGGGATGAACACTCACTTCTGCTCGAAGGCGGCGATGAGGCGGGAGTCTAGGATGTTCTCCTCGGGTTCCCAGGTGCTGTACCTGCCGGGCGGGAGCAGCGGAGGGGACAAGCGAAGCGGTTAGCGCCCAAATACCCCCGCAGCCGCGCACACGGATACCTCCCCCTCCATCCCACTCCGCCCCATCCCAAGCCCCCCATCCCCGCAGCCCGGGCGGGATACACTCACTTGATGGCCCAGCCTTTCCATTTCACCAGGTACTCGATGCGCCCCTGCAACACACGGGGGAGAAGACGGGAGGGGGGGGAGGGGGAGGGGGGGGTGTGTGAGGCGGGGGCCCGGCGGGAGGGCCAGCGGCGCAGCCGGGGCCCGGCAGCGAGGACCGAGGTTGGGGGGGAGTCCCGGAATCCCAGTGGGGGCGGCCCCTCACCTTTCGGATGCGGCGCTTGATGATGGACTCGGCGGCGAAGACGCGCTCCCCCACTGCAGACAGCTCCATCTTGCTGCTCCCCCTCGGCGGCGGCGGCGGCGGCGGCGCCCACAGCCCATAATAATCCCGCCCGCCCGCGCGCGCCGCCCCGCCCCCTGCCCGCAGCCCCGCCCTCCTCGTGCCGCCGCCGGCTCGCGCACGCCCGCGCGCCCCCTCCCGCCGCGGCCGCGCGTGACCCGCCCCCCCCGTGGGTGAGGGCCCTTAAAGGGGCCGCGCCCGGGCGGGGCGGGGGGCTCGGAGCCCCGGGCCCGCGGGACGGCCGCGCAGCGGGGAGAGGAGCGAACGGAAGGGAAGCGAATCCCGCCCGGCAGATCCCCGGCATGGCGGCGGTATTGCCCCTTCCCGCCCGAACGGGGCCTTTTTTTTTACTTAAAACAATGGCGGCAGCCTCTTCTCCCGCTGCAGATGCACCGTCACCCCCTCTCGCCAGCGAGGAAGCAGGCAGCCTTGAAGCACGTACCACGGCAAAAACTAGGAATAAAGGCGCTTAAATATTTTCTTTCCTTTTTCTGTGTTTTATTCTGTTTAGCAGGTGTGAGTGTGTGCCAGTATAAGGTACAATTTTTGAGCCAGTGTAAGGTACTGCGAGGTAAATGGGCCAACCACGCTACATAAACCTGTAAGGAAACCAGAAAAATGTTAAGTCACTTAGAGGAATTCCCTGCCCTGACTATTGCTGCAAACCCCTCATTGATTTGCAACATACTTTACACTCTCTTCCAGGTGCTAAAAAGACAAAAATCTCAGTCAAAAATCGTTCTCTGTGATTCAAAGTGGAAGCTCATGGCCCTGCAGCTGTATTTGTGTGGAACGCAGGGTCCACCCTTACCTGGAGGACCTTGTCTGGCCCGTTCTGCTTTCTCACCTGGTTTTTGGGCGAGGAGGCTGTGCATTTCAGATACCCTCTGGAAAAAGTGGGAGCTGTGATGAGGGCTAGAGGGAATGGTTGTTGTCCTGCATTTGCTGCTCTTTCTAAACCCAGCGTGACCAGCAAGGTACCTGCAGAGCACTGGAATCCTTCTGTTACCTGCTCCTCAGCTGGGCTGGCAGGGACCCCTCACAGCCCCTGTGGCTCTTGCCAACCCTTTCTACATTTGCATTCACATTCCCTTTCCACCTCTTGCTCAGGGGTTTCACCCAGAAGGAGGAAATTCTGGAAACGGTTATATTATGGCTATAATATCAGTTCTAGTAGGGATGGATTTCCCAAAGTCAAGGCAGGCAAACAACATTCAAAAATGAATGTTTTCCTCACTGCCTGTGATTCAGGCAAGATCTGTTCAGAGTGTTTTTCCTTTTTCACTTTAGCAGCTGAAATATTGCAGCCAACACAAGCTCTGCCTGGAGGAAAAGTGACTCAGGAGAGGATGTGCTCCCCACTGCCATGTCCCCATTGGCAGTGAGGTTGGTGGAGAGGTTGCTGGATGCTGATGGAGACAATCACACAGACCCTGGTTCAGGACATGTGACTAGTTCGGAGAAGGACGTGTTTCCCAGTCAGGGACCGAAACACAGCGTGCTTCATCACTGCTAATTCCGCATTTAGGTCATACCCCTCACTTGGAGAATAGGCTCTAAGAGGCCCTTTCTCAGCTGTTTGGCATCACAGGCCAGGCAAGAACAGAAGTCCAAGACTCTCACTTAGAGTGGATCAAGTCCTTCTGGAGCGCCCCTTTTCCCTAGACGCCTTTTTTCAATCTCAGTTCTTCATATGCTTAAAGGTGATTCCAAAAGAACAAGTCTATCACACCCATTGCATTTTGCTTTTCACTTTTTTAACTTTGCACATTAAGTGTTCATTAACACCATCCACGTTTAAATTAGTGTTTGTTACTGTTCACTTTGTTTAAACAACTGCTTTTACATTTGTAGCTGAGTGTCAAGCAACTGAGCTTTCAACCACCACCATCACCCACCCCCAAAAGCAGGCACCCTTAAATCAAAAGGGAAAAAAGTCTTTACACGGCTACACAAACATGTGCAGCAACCAAGACTGGTGGCCTTGTCACAAAACAGATGTGTGGGTCACAAATAGCACAGCCCACCTCAGGACAGGAGCAAAAGGAACCGTGATCCACGGACCAGAAGGGGCAGCAGCTTTTCAGAGAGCTTCATGTGCTCTTTCTAGTTATTTTCTCATTCCACCTGTCAGCAGAACCTTCCTTCCAGCCACAGCCACTGCTCAAATCACTGCAACCTGCCATTGCACAGGTACGGCCTAACACTTTCATCTACCTTGTACTCTCACAAAGCAAAATAGTAGCGGAATATCCAGCTGTTCAGGACATTGTTGGGCATTTCCTTTGTTTCATTCACATTTCTAGTAAAACACTTTAAAAAAAAACCCAACCCAACTGGGAAGCCAGTCCTCCCTGAATAAGCTATTGTTCACTACAGACACTGAAATAAAATATTTTTCTTGCAATTCGCTGCCTGCAAAACCCTGGTGCCATAGAATACACTGTAGCACTTCTTACTAGGAAGTCAGTGCCTGGAAGCAATAAGCTTTAGGAGAGCAACAACATCTTTCACATCAAAACCCCTAGTCAACGGTGTAGGGGCATGGGGGACAGCAGCAGGTGTGAGAGAATTTTTATGTGTTTTTGAAATGACGGTAATGGGAAACTCACCTGCTCAAAATCAGTAGCTGCCTCCAAGCTCATTTTTTGTGGACCTGGTAGGAGTAGCAGCATTTATCTCCAGGAGAAAAGCTCCAAGGGTTCATTTAGTGACTCTGCTGCTTTTCACTCCAGCGAGGTCACTGTTAGGAGCAGCAGACTTTGGAAAGCAAATGGTCAGTCCCTCACCTATACTGGGAACAGCTGCACACAGCCCAGCCCCTCAAGCCAATGCTGTGTACATTTCCAACCAAACCCTTGGCACTATGGGCATCCAGGTGAATGTGTGCTGGGATTTCCCTGCTGCAGCTCTGGAACACACAGAGGCAAAGGCAGGTCCCTCGGAGCTGACCCTGCATACCAGGTACAGGTGGCTCAGCATGGCCCAAGCAGTGGCCAGAACAATCAGCCCTCCAGCCCAGTAACTTTTTGATGCAGCAGAGAAGGCCCATGGGGTTTGTGCTGTGCCTACACCAGTGGGATACTATGACATCCCTGGGGCCTGCCTAGGAGATCCCAAAGCAGGCCCAGCTGCCCAGGCTGCCACTGGCTCAGGATGATTACACAAGTCCTCCAGATTTCTTCATTCTCATTTCAAAAGCAGTCGCTCGGCAAGCAAAATGCTGTGAAGGGCAGGGAAGCTGTATGGCACTGAACAGACAGGAAGAGACTGTCCTCACAGGGGTCACACAGGCTGCATTTCACTTTCTGCTTCTCAGAGAACATCCAACTGCTCAACCCTTGTGGTTTCGCCTTTTGCCAAGTGCCCTTGTTCTCAGGCATCCAATGGAGAGAGCTGTGCAAGGCAAGTCAGCTGCACTGCAGAGAACAGAGGGGTGGCATAGCAACAGATTATTAAAAAAAGGACTGCCCAGATTAACCTTTAATCCAGCCAACACATGCATGCAAAAGGACAAGCTGTTTCTAGTACCAGCCAGCCTCTGCAGCTTTGGCAGAGGTAGGAAGACACAATCTCCAGAGCAGGCTTTCCCGTAACTCTGCACTGCAGTTTCTTACAGCTTCACCTGACCCTCTAGCTGCTGCCAGAAAGTAAGTGGCTGGCTGGAGTCCTGCTCTGATGCCATCACTCAGCTCAGCTTCCCTGGCTCAAGGCAAGCATGCTGACAGCCCTTTGGTAACACAGGCAAGACCTAACCATGCTGCCTTGAGCCATGACTGAGTCAGGAAACACACCCCATCCCCCTCTGCTTTTGCTCCACTTGCTTCTGTGATTGATGCCATAGATGCATTCAGGTGCAGGGCTCACCCCCACATTACATCTACTAGAGCTATTTCAGACAGCCCCATTCTCTTGGCCAGATACCTCCATAAACACCTGGCCTCTCTCTCCACAGGGGATGGAGTGGGACACACCTTGAAGGAGCAAGCCAGGCATCCAAGTGGACTAGATGACATTTGGGATTTTCTCCATGGAGCATCAGCAGTTCCAGGACTCGAGCTCCTTGGCTAAGTCCTGGGGTGAACCAGGGGCCACACTGTACCCAGGAGCAGCTGTGTTCCTGAAGAGGTCTCTGGAAGCCTTGCTGGCCAAACCATTGGAGGCTTTGGCTTGGAGGAGAACTGCTATCCTGCTGGCAAGCACAGCACAGCATGCCTGGCAGCCCAGGCCTCACCTCAGACTTTCTCCATTCCAATGAGATGCAGGATGTGGGGCACGCCAGCACTCTCCTGGTGCTGGCAGAGCTGTCCTGGCACTGCAGCCTCATGAAGGATGTAGAGAACTCCCTAAACCCAGAGCAACAGCCACCCTGCCATCAGTGTTCTCCTCTTAAAATTATAAACCATCAAAGACCAATCGTCCCAGGTCAGCCCTAGACAGCTCTAACTTACCCAGTGGGTTAAAAATTAATAAAAACTTGACCTCCTCTAATCAAAGTAACGAGTAATGTCAGAAGCAGCCTTTTGCAGGCTCCATTCTTCATCAATCCTTCTTTACTGATCGTCCTCATGCACACATGCATGTTCTCCATTCTTTTTCCAGCTGCACTGCATGTTTATACACCAATAATTGTGACTGTTGGAAAATAATTCAGCTGTAAAATTAAAGCAAGGAGGAGGTAAATGACCACACAAACATACCATAAGGTAAATGTCAGTTCTCATATTTAATATTTTAATAATTTTGTTTGCAACATTTACCACATAAATCATCTAAATAAATAGATGCTGTACAGTCTCTTATCCATATCAGTACAAAAATAAAACCACACTTTGTGTCAAATTATACTTGAGCCTGCCCTCCCTTTGCTATTACAATCTCCTTTTACAGCACATACTCGCTCAGAAAAGGCATTATACTCTGATTGGTTTGTTTGGAATTGGTTTACTCCCTATTTCCCCCCCTCCCCAAATACATTCAATTAGTCTGTACAAAAGCT